CACACTGCATCACCTACATGAACTGGTATCCCTATACACTACATTCCATAAGCACACATATTATATCCTCTACAACAGGGGTAGGCAACCTACGGCACTAGTGCCATGCACGGCACTCAAGGTGTCTTTGCACGGCACTCAAGGCTGCTAGAGCCAAACAGGCTCTGGCCTATCAGGAGTCCCAGTGAAACTTCAGATATCTGCTAATACGAAAAGGACAATCCTCAATTTATGCATTGCAGCACATAGAGTAAGTGATCTCAGGTCCCTTCCTCCCAGCACTTGTGACTGGGAATCCACACTGTGGTAGAGCAGCCCACAGCGGATATTGCAGCTCCTGCCCTTCACCTGTACCTGGACAGCCTGGTCTCCACTGGAACCCAGGGAAGCCACCCACACTGCTAGATATTCACAGACCTACAGAATAAGCCTCCCCTCATACAAATAATATGAACAGCCCACAAACAAACATACACACAATCCACACAAACGTAACTCGCTAACAATCCACATACATGCACACAACCCCACATGCAGCCTCTCACATGCAATACCCCAAACAGATCCCACACACTACCAAACACACAATGTGACACATCCATCCACACACAATTCCACAAGCAGCCACCATACACAGCCCACATTCATATGTATCATACACGATACCACAAACTATTCCTGAACATATACAATATAATAGCTCATATACGCACAAATACAAATATACAAAGCAATTACAGTAGAAATAACACAAGCAGAATACACACCTCAATTTTAGAAAATAGGACTGGCACGCTACGGGACATCACAATCCTATATCGGCACAGTGCTGCTAAAAGGTTGCCTACCCCTGCTCTACAATAACACATCCCCTACACACTCCACTCCCTGTGAGCGAACTCATGGGTGGGTGGAACATATAAGTGGACTTATGAGTGGGCCTTATGGGCATACTCACCGTCAGGCCCTGGGGCCCAGACCTTGAGCTGTGTAAGGGGCCCCCAAAAAATGGAGCTGCTTCCAATTCTCCCAGAACATTGAATTTTGTGACCACAGTTGCAAACAGCCTCCAGAGATCCTGTTCTACACCAGACCAGTGGAGCCAAACTGCAGCCCCTCATCATCCTCATCTGGCTGTAAGTAGGCAATCTAGTATATTATTAGTGACACTAATCTATAATTTACCTCACATTAAAGGGACACTATAGTCCACAGAACCACTTCAGCTTAATGGAGTGGTTCTGGTGTCTATAGCCGGTCCCTGCAGGCTTTTTAATGTAAACACACACTGCGTGCAGCACTGGCGTTAGTTCATATGGCAGATCATATGGGTGGGGCATTGTGATGTCACATGGGGGGGGGTCGGCAAATTTTTTCTTTTGCCTAGGATGGCAAAAATCCTAGCACCGGCTCTGATCCTGGGCAGGTGCACCAGTCTATTGGTGACCCACAGGAGGGGAATGCATTGATTGCACTGCACTCTCCTCCTGCCAGACCCATCTTTACCACAGTGCAAGTGCCCTCTGCCCCTAATTTACAGTGGCTCACACTCACAGTAAGCAGTGCCTGGAGCCCTTTGCAGAGACGGAAACAAAGAGGTTCTGCAGCAGCTGGCCGTCCTGCAAGCATTACATTAAACAGCTGTTCCCCATGCAGCCACAGGTGCTGCTGTGCTGGGAGAATGTGATTACTATTCACTTCCTCCCAGCCTACAGAGCAGCGCATGGGAGGGAGAGAGGAGGAGGCATGATTTAATCTTACAACAAATCCACTAAGCAAATCTTTATAAATTTGAGGGGATCAGCTCTGTTTCCACAGTTTATTGGTGTTTACTCTGATGTCTGTATTAATATTGAGGGATTTCTAAGTAGGAACATCAGTGTGTGTCAGCAGGGCCAGCCGTTGGGGTGTGCAAGCTGTGCGTTCACCCAGGGTGCCATGACAACAGAGGCGCCCGGCAGCCAACACAGCTTGCAAGTTGGGGACACCAGCATATTCAATTTAAACGATTCGATGGTGGTCCACTGGTGCGCACCAGCAGTAGGTGCAGTCAGGTTATATCCTCTCCCTCGTGGTTCCTGCGCTCAGTTAGTGAGTCAGAGCACAGGCTCAGAGATTCTCAGCCTGCGCTCTGACAACATTGAAAGTCAGAGCCGTGAAGGAACGGGTATGGCAAAGCGCTACTGATTAGCATAACATCAATATCCGTTATAAAACCAGGAAAAGGTGGACATGGATGGTGAACTGATTTGGTGGTGCAATGGGCCACTTGACTAGTTTTGCCCCCCAGGCCTAAGGCTACCAGCCCTCCCCTGTCATCATCATCATATTTGAAGGACTGTCGGAATCAGTGGTCCATGAGCAGACCTCTCCTTGGTCTCATTCTCCTCAATGAGAAGTATTTCTTGGACTTACGAAGCAGCATTGTTGTTAGTAGCTAGCCCCCTCTGAGAAGCAACAAGCCATGCGTCTACGCTTTGAGAATTCGAATGGAGGGCATTGAAAAGGAACTTGCTCACAAAAGAATCGAGACAGGTTCACTCAGAATCTTTCTGCATTTAGACGAGAAGTGAACGACTCTGCAGAGACTGCACTGAAAGGGTGAAACGGGTTCTGTTGCGAGGACGTTTTATAATAAATCATTTTCTCTTTACCGAGGGAAAGAAACAAACTTTTGCACTGAAAAAGGATGAAAAAGGTTTCTGCAAGGATGTTTTGTAATAAATAATTTCCTCTTTACCCGAGGGGAAAGAAACAAACATTTTGCACAAACTAGACGGAAGCAGTTAATGTGCACATTATGTGCACATTACCTAGGTAAAGTGCGGAAAACTCTTGATTCCTCACTTTAACTGAGCAAACCAGTTAATCTGCAGATTAACTAGGTAATGTGCACATTAACTGATTTTTCACTTTATCTGTAACACATACTGTGAAAAGGAGACATTAAATAATGTTTCTATTTCTCTGAATTTGCCCTGTTCGCCCTGGCTTTGCTTTGTCTGAACTGAAATGTGATGTAATTTGATAAATCTTTAATATAAACGCAAAGAAAACAAAGGATCTCATTAAAAATGGTTAAGTTGTGGTGGGCAGAGCCAACAGCAAAGCCATGTGGATGCCATTTATAACGGCTTGTCTAATCTCACAATTATCCTAATTTACTTGCACAATCCAAAATCCACAGACCCCCACAGTAGATTCGGGCACTCAAGCTGCACAGATCGATGCCCTTCTTTCAACCTGCCAAGACATCTAAGCAGAGACACAGACCCTTACGGACTTGGAGACATTCCTCGGCAGTGCCAAACACACCCGGAGCACTCAACACACATGCCTGCCATGGGACGCCACTCCCAGAAGATGAGCACCCCAGCCGAACACCAAGACACTGCTACAAAGACAGGTACGGCACAAGATGGCACCTGCAGAAAGCCTCCGCAGCCTCTGACACATCCCCAGAGCACCAACAACAGCGTGAGGAGCGTACTACACCACCCGCTCCCACGGCAAATTCAGAAGACTTGTCCACTGCAACAAAGCACATCCACAAGGTGCAGTACTATGCTCTGACATGCAAAACACCACTGACAGGGTCCGGGCTACAGAAGAGGACATAAATGCCGGCCTAACTAACATACAAAACACAGTACAACAGCTAACTAAACCACATCAAACACTCTCACTACAGATGGCCGCCATGGAAGACCGGTACAGACATAACGTCAAAATCAGAGGCATACCAACAGCAATATTGACAGAGGAGCTACCACACTTCATCAGGAGATTGCTTGCAACAATATTGCCCCCGGCAATGTCAAAGAAAATCACTCTAGATGGGGTATACAGAATCCCGGGTACCAGGTCACCACCGCACACCGCCAGAGTTGTCATCTTAAGATGCACTTCGGCCCAAGATAAGGGGGATATCATGGTGGCCCTGAGAGGCAAGACGCCACTAACCTTTGAAGAATCACAATTGACCTTCTATCAAGATCTCACCAGAACGACCCTACAATGGTGCAAATCGCTCACACACGTCACGTAACAATTGAGATCTGCAGGCACGGCTTACCAATAGGGAACAAAGGGGCACGCTACAAGTAACCCACAACGGAACCACTCACTCACCACCCTGATGAAGGCACCAAAGTTCCTTTCATCACTGGGATTGCCAGAACCACTGACTTGCCCAGAAACCACTGCCCCAGGCAGGTTATGGGACCTGGCCACCATCATACCGTTTGTCCCAAGAATGGGAGCTGAGAGGCAACTGGGCACCTTAAAACAGATGGCACCAGAGATGTTCGAGTCTGCTCTATAAACGAATGGCAGCGAACTGCAACGAAAATGACCTAATGTTTTTGCTTTCTTTCTTTTCTCATATGGTTTCTCTTTAATTGTGTTAGATTATTATTGTTTTACAGTTTGCCTATGCAATACATTACTCCACAGAGTTTGCACTGAGCTTTACACTGACGGAAGACCACCCCACAGGGAAGTGACCCAGACTGCTCTAGAGCTAACAGGTCATCCCGTCTCAACTCACAGGCGAGACATTCACCACACACTTCGCCCCCCCCCTCCACCCCCCGCAACCACCTTGGTTAGGGGCATGCCCCGCTCAATTGCAAGGCACACCTGGAACAGTTCCTTGTTGGAATCCACCACGCTAACACCCCTACAAAGCAATCTCAATGCAGAGACCAACTCGACAGGCAACCTTGCACGAACTCCCCACAGTGTTATTGACCCTCGACTCCATGTTGAGGACCACCGACCAAAACACTAAACTTATGACCCTAACATTGTGTCTTTACTCAGATATAGAAACCCCTCGCCTCAACTATGCAATATATCAGCACACTCATGCTTACTAAGCAACTAGGCGCACTCACCTACTGATATATGCCGAATTACTCATATTTATTAACAAAAATGTGTGATGCATACTCATGTCACAACTTCGTCCACTCATAAAAGCCGTTCCATGCTATTGTGGCATACTCGGCATGCATGTTACCTCATGGCGCAACAAAAATAAAGAATTATTAAAAAACTATTAAGTTGTAGCTGATTTTCAATTGTGTCTGCTCCAGAGAAGTGACAGTTCTTCTTTCAATATAGCAGGGATTTTCAGTTTTGTTTAAATTGTGGGTATTATGGAGTTCCTAAGAGAAAGCAATGTGTTAAACTGAAAAAAAAAATATCTTTTCAAATTGGGTTAGTCATCCTACTAATTGAATCTGGTTCTACAGCCTTCCAGATGAATGGTTTTAAAATATATTTCTCCTGGATTCTGCTACTGAAGTGTGTTTTCTGTAGTTAAATATATCTTTTTTTACATTTATAATTAATTTAGGCAATGGTCATTTTCAAGTCCTAGCCAGAAGGAGACAGACAGAACACAGCATTTTTTCTATAAAGATTTGCATTACTGAATAAATTCAGATGATCTTTAAAACACAGAGTTCATGCAAGTGGTCCATTTGGTAATTGACTGAGAAATTGTAAAAGTAAAGTGGGAGATGAATTATTCTAGCAACTAATTAAGTATACAAAAACAGCTGATTAATTGCTGCTATTCACTTTTCTGCCACAGACTGCAACTTGCCGTTCACCTGATTTTTGTGTTGCATAATTTTTTTGTCCAACTGAGCATTTTACTTGGAGCATAATTAAAAACAAATAAAATAAAAACTATTTTATTTTTGTATACATATGACTACTGTGGGTAATTTAGTGTTGGTTGTTTGATTTATATTGTTTTTTTATGTGGTGCCTTGCAATCTGTTTCTGATTCCTCTTTCTTAAAATTTACTAATAATTACTAATGAATGCCATTGGTTATTTTCTATGCATTTGATCCTATAACACAACAATTAGATATTAGTATTTTTCTATAGGGTACTCGAACATTTTGACTAACAGATACAATTCAAGTTTTGAGACCTCTGAACAGAACTGTAAATCAAAGAAGAATATGACGCATTAGATGAAAAATACAGATAAGGGTGTATGGCAGATTGGTGTCACAGGTAAAAAAAGAGAAATGTATTGGCTGAATAATACAGTTTTTCCTTGAAAATAAGACATCCCTGAAAATAAGTCCTAGCCCGAAAATAAGGCCTCACTGAGATCGTCACTGGTTTTCTAATTTGCTAACAAACAAAATTAGCATTCATAGATTTTATAAACATTTCCCTAAACTCACAATTTCAAGTTAGCCAGGAAGCTGGTATAAGGCATATGTAACGGTCTGTGGGTAGTCCCGCTGTGTACCTCTGTTACTTCTTGGCTTCCTAGGCTCTTTTCAGACTTGCTGAGTCAAAGTATTCGGTGCCATTAGGAGTGCTCAGATGTCCATCTCAAAGTTATATGAGCAGCTTTTGGAGGTGATATGTAGCGAATGATTATAGCAGTAATTATAGCCTTTATCCCACACCATGAGTTTAAACTATGTTATATTCTTATGTTATATATATTATATGTTATGTTATGTTATATTTAGCTCCATTTTGTCCATATAATACACACAACCTGAAACAACGAATGCCCCTTGTAAAATTACAACCCAAGGAAGAGGAACTCCTACATTGCAACCCTAGATCCATGTTAGACCCGGTGACTGGGATAAACCACACAATTCTCTTATGATTCTAGTTGGTACAAGGAGGTAAGTAAGATTAGGTAATTTATCACTAGTCCTTCAGCACGGAGGCTACTCATAATGCTAACATCATCATCATAGTAAATCCAATCCAAGTGAACCCTTGTGGTGGGTAGCCATTGCACATTCTCCCTGCTACCTGGGCAGCCACCAACCAAGTTTTATGAGCTGGGGTTGCACCAGAGTAATTGAAGCTCCAGTGTCTTAGAATCCTTGGGCAGCCCATCCATTCACCCACACGGTCTACCGATGATGGTATCAGTTGTCGCCAGATGCTGGTTATACTGGGTCCACCTCGTGAAGTAGTCACCAGTCCTCCTCAAGAGACCTTGACTCCTCTGTAGTGATGTCCTTCCAAAACCTCAGCTAAACAGTGAGTCAAAGCTCGGCTTTGCTGGGGGGCTGCCCGGATTCTAGGTAGGCCGTGGTGTCAACTTAGGGCAGTTGTGCAGAAGGTGTCCAAGCACATTTATAGCACCTATGTCTGGTCTGCCTGGGCAGATGAGTGCTGGCTAGAGGGGGTACCCAATTGGGATTAGTGCTGATGTTTGTCACAGGAGCAGGTATTACTCTTGCAGGTGGTAGTATGGGTCCGCTGATTGGCTAAACGCATGTAGAGGTGGACCAACGGATGTCCTGATACTTATCTGCCAACTCGGTTGCTTTTTTGATGGACCAAGGCCAGTAATCTCGAAACCAATTACAGATGTCAGGAGGGGCACAGTTGAAAAATTGTTCAAGTAGGATGACTTGAGCCACCTCTACCACAGTAGTTATCTGGCACCACTGCTTCCAGCTCTAGACCACCTGCTGCATTTGGTGGCCCCACTCTCTTACATCTTTCTCAGATCCCACAATCCTTCCAGGGTGATGGCTAAAAACCTTTCTTTCACCAGATCATAGTCATGGCACTCTTGATCGGACAAGGTTTGGTAGGTCTTGGCTGCCTGACCCGAACTGACAGCTTTCTCACCAGAATGGTGACCAAATCCTCTTTCAACAACTGTTATAACTAACATTAAAAGTGGATCAGCGCTGGGTGACCAATCAAAGAATATATTTACTTGAAAAATGGGCAGCAAACCTAATGTAAGGAGAATAAACAGTAAAATTAAATTTGCTGTACCTCAAAGTTTAGACTTTTTACTTTTTTTTAAATATTAGACTCTTTTATTTGTTTGTTTTGTAACTTGTATTTTTCAATTTTTATTATCTCAACATTGTATTTTATTGTCTTCCATCAGTTGGTAATTTACTCTATTTTACTGTTTTTTCGGTGCAACCTATTTTTATTTTATTTTACTGTTGTAACTCACATTGCCTCTCACCTCTCCCTGACTGTCGCTCCAGGGTCATATCTGCCATGACCTTCCAGATGGTTGCTTGGGAGAAATTCTGGCCGTTATAGCGCAGCCGCTGTTGCATCATCCGATCAAATTCATAGACGAACCATTTTCGACTCATCGGTCACCCTCCATAAGTATCTTGATTAATGATGTTTAGGTGAGATTTCTGGCTACAATACCTCGAGGTTCCACCAAGTCTTTTAAGGAAGCCCACTTGAAGCTGGTGTACTGCTGGGCCATCCACTCCTGGTTCTTCACAGGTTGTTCCGGGTAATCGTAGTGTCAGTACAGTTAGTTTCTATGGTCTTTACTGCTTCAGTCACTGAACAGAAACAGGGAAAACCATAGAGACTAAGTGTCTGTTTTCAAACACACTCCAACCCAAGGCATGTGTATAGCTAAAGAATCCTGTCATAAAGTAGGGGTGAGTTTTTCCTTTTTTTTTGTACATATACTCCATTTAAAAAATCTGTTTCCTTTCAAAACTAAAATAAATGATTATTATAATAAAGGGATGCTCCACTGCCCAAATGCAAAACAAATAAAAATCATTGTTTAGTAGATGTACCCCAAATGAAAACTTGCATGAATTTAAATTGATTTTTTATTGGATTTTATCTGACAACAGCTTGCAAAAGCTGCCAATCTCTTGTCTGCTGCCTTTGTAAGTCCTCCTCTTCTAACTCCACCCAGACTTTCTGTGGATGTCCAATCACAGACTTCCCAATGCAGCTCAATGAGAAGTCTTTGCAAGGCAGGTATTCTTGGAAATTGCTGCCTGAGTTTAGTGCAACTATCCTAACCAAGCCAGGAAGTAACAGGACCTGTTGTCTCCTTGAAAACCAGTATAATTTATAAAAGTTTCAATTTCTATTGAATGCTTACTTTTTCCAAAATGAAAAAAACAGTACACACTCTTCACACATAAAGCTTTTCAGCAAGCTCAAGCGCTTTGGAGATCTGGAGTGTCTTTTAAAAATAGTTTTGAGTTAACATTTGTCCTTAAGAATGACAGTCTCTATGAATAGTCTCTATTTTGGGCCCAAATACCTCTGTCCATCTTTTCTATCATAGTGTCCCTCTTTTTAGGAGCTCAGTATTCCTGGTGTATATAACAGAGTTCCACAGAATTAATACTCACACTAATGTGAGTTAATTTTTTTTTATTGAGGAGTCACTTTACTTTTTCATCCCACACCACACCCCCACTCATACTCCTAAAATTAAAATGTATCTCTTTGTCAATTTGAAATGTTAGGAGGTAGGTGATTACCCTTCCCTTTGGACATTAAGAGGCAATATATATTTAATATATTAAATAAAGAACATATTTTAGAATCAGAGAAGATTTCTATGAGTGATTTATAAAGATAGGAAGATTGCCAATCAGATTGTCAGAAAAGAAAGAAAGAAAGAAAGATAGGAAGGTAGGAAAACACAGCCGTGAAGGTAGACAGAGAGATACATAGACACTAGGCATTCTCCTCCATTCCCAATTGCAAACTTCAAAATACTGCAC